GCTCCACGCCCACCTTGTCTGCCCCGCCGGCCACCTGGCCGCCCTGCCAGACCTGCCCGACCCGGGGGAGTTTGCCCGGCTGCGCAGCTGCGCCGAGGTCCACGCCAAGCTGGCAGCAGCCGGGCGAGGCGAGACCAACTATGCGCTGCCCAACGCCTCCTACCCCAACAACCTCCTCCGCAACGTGGCGAGGGGGGCAGCAGCTGGTGGCTATGCCCTAGTGCTGGACATCGACATGGTGCCCAGCCGCGGGCTGCGCCCAGCCTTCCTGGCTCTGCTGGGTGCCCCCGGGGGCATCCCAGGCCCCACTGGGGTTTTCGTGCTCCCAGCCTTTGAGATCCAGGAGGGTCTGCGGCCACCTGGCACCAAGCAGGAGCTGCTGGCCATGTACCAGGCTGGGGAGGCGCGGGGTTTCTATGCGGAGCTGTGCCCACGCTGCCAGGCACCCACCGACTACCCGCGTTGGCTGGGGCTGCCGCCGGCGGGCACCCTGAGTGTCACCTACACGGTCGCCTGGAGGGACCCCTGGGAGCCCTTCTACCTGGGGCCGGCCGCTGCACCCACCTTCGACGAGAGGTTTCGGCAGTACGGATTCAACCGCATCAGCCAGGTGGGTGCCCGCCCCTGAGCCAGGCATAGGGTGTATCCAACCCCCATCACCCCCCAGAACCAGCTGCATGTTGTGCCCAGCCCAGAGTTGGCCATAGGCTGTTATAGCCAGCCCCTGGCACCAGCTGCAGGTTATACCTAGCCCAGAGCACACTGCAGCCTATTATAACAAGCCCCAGCTCCTACCCAAAGCTGGTTGCAGCCTGTTACACCCAGGCCCCTGGTGTCCCCCAGAGCCAGCCGCATGTTGTATCCACCCTAGAGCTGCCCCAGCCCATTATACCCAGTGCCCACCCCAGGGCAGGCTGCAGCCTGTTATACCCAGCTCCTAGTGCCTCCTCACCCAGAGCCAACTGCATGTTATAACCAACCCAGAGGCAGTCACGGGTTGTCATTCCCAGCCCCCGGCCCCACTCCCTGCATCTCCCCGCAGGCCTGCGAGCTGCACGTGGCCGGCTACGAGTTCTGGGTGCTGAACGAGGCCTTCGTGGTGCACAAGGGCTTCAAGCTGCCCAGCGACTTCCACCCCCAGAAGGACGCAGAGAATCGCCGTAACCGGGAGCTCTTCCGCCAGTTCAAGCAGGACCTGAAGGCCAAGTACCCCAGCTCCCCCCGTCGCTGTTGATGGATGGTGTGGCCCAACCCAGGATCCCCCTGCCACTTCTGACAGATGGTATGACCCAGCCTGGGCTACCCCTGGCACTCCTGATGGATGGTATAGCCCAGCCCTGGCTCTCTCCACTGCTCCTGAGGGATGGTGTGGCTTCCCCCTGCCAGGGCTCATGGGTTTGACCCAGCCTGGACACCCCCCACGCCCCATGGATGTTGACGGATGGTATAATCCAACTGGGTTTCCCTCCCTGCTGGGACAGATGGAACAACCCAGCCTGGCTCCCCCCTGCTGGAACTGATGGGTGGACTAACCCAAATGTAGTTTCCCCCCCCCCTCCTGCTGATGGATGGTATGACCCAGCTGTTCTCTCCCCCTCCCCCATGGCAGTGCTGAAGGATAAGGATGCCTGGGTTTTGTGTGTGCCTCAGTTTCCCCTGCCCTGGAACAATAAAGGGGGCCGGGCCACCCTTTGCCTTGTGTGGGTCCTTCCTTGGAGCAGGGCAGCTCCTGGGGTGTTGCTGGGAGAGGGGCTATGTGTCTCCATGGCAACACAGCTCTGGGTACCTTGCTGATGTCACAGCTGAGTGCCATGGCAGCTAGACTGGCAAGCCAGCAGGCCTGTCGCCATGTCCATGCCATGAGGGTTTTGGGTAGTGAGTAACAAGTTGGGAGACCTTGTTGCTACAGCAGCCTGATGTCATGGCTACTTGGTGATGGCTTGGTGCCCTGGAGCCAGGGTAGCGCTACAGTCCAGTTGCCATGGTGACAGGGCAAAGCAGGTGCCCTGGCAATGCTAAAGCTAGGTGTCATGACAATGGGAGATGGTGTCATGGTGACGTCATGGCTTGGCATCAGGGCAACAATGCAGCTAATGCCATGGCAACAGCACAAGCAGCTGCCATGCTATAGGCACGATGGGTTGCCATGGCAACATTGAACCTGGGTGCCACGGCAGTGATGGGAGTGGGTGCCATGGTGATGTTGCTATTGAGGGTGACATCATGGGTACAGTGGGAATGCCATGTTCAGGTGCCATGGCAAAAGAGGGGCTGGGTGCCATGGTAACAGTACCTGTGAGGGCAGTGATGTTGCCATGGCCCCTGCTCCTGACAACAGTTAGGAGCCCTAATGGAGTCACAATCATCATAGGGACCTGGGCTGCACCACTACTGTCCTGGGGGGTGGCTCTCCCCCCCCCACCCCCCACTTTTCATCTGATGCTTGGTCCCGTCCCCACTGATGCATATGAGGGTTGGGTGAGACCATTCCGATGGGGGGGGCACAGAATGGCATCTAGGCTAACCCATGGGGGGTGCTAATATTGCCTGGTTTTGAAAATCCACTGAAGGAATGGGCCAAACCATTAATTGCACCTGGAGGGAATGCACGGACCCTCCAAAGTACACCCATGGGGAATGGGGGGTGGGGGGGGGGGAGGAGAGCGTCCCCTGTTGGCAGCGGCCTGTGGTACGTTTCCTTAGACACGGGGGGGAGTGGGACAGACCATGTTAGGGGGTGTTGACTCCGAGCTGGGTTGGACTGTACCATTCCTGCAAATATGCAGCTGTACATAAAGTGATGGCTAGTGGTTAGAGCAAGAGGTGGGATGGGGGCTGGGAGCCGGGACGGCTGGGTTCCCTGCAGCTGTGCGGGACGAGCAGGGGGAGCTGCTGACCCTTCAAAACCACTGAAGAAGGGGATTTAGACACCGGGAAGAAACAGCTCTTTGGGGTCGAGGGGGCGGAGATGCCCACAGCAGGTGGAGGGGCATGACTCCGTCCCCCCCGCGCATGCGTAACGCAGCCCCTCCCCCATTTAAGGACCTGCCCATATAAGGCTGCGAGCACCGCCCCCTGCCAAGCACCGCCCTTCGCGGCCTCCGTGCCTTATTAGGGCATTACGGTGCAGGGGGGCGGGGCCAGGACGAGGACGAGGAACCCCCGAGTCCGGCCTCCCCAGAACAGAAAGGAGAGAAGCCAGGCGCTCGGGCCGTCTCACCCAGCATCCTTTGGACCCAGGCATCCAGGCTAAGGCTGGAGCGGCTTGTACGGCTGGAACTACATCCCCCAGGATGCGCGGCGCCCCACCCATCCCAGCCCGCCATCTTGCCCAGTAGCTTAGCCGCGAACCACAGTTCCCAGGATGCTGCGCAGCAGGCCCTACAAGTCCCGGAGTGCTCCGCGTCCAGCAGCTACAAAAGCTCGCGAGAGCGCATGCGTAGTTCGCACCAGCAACGGTTTACGCATGCCCAGCTCCAAGCCGACGCATGCGTATTACAAACCGGGCGTTTCTGGGGTCCGTGTGCATGCGCATTGAGGGCAGGGAGGGGGAGGACTCGCTTTCCCAGCGTGCCCCGCCGGAAGTGCCACTCTCCCATATAAAGCAGAAGCGGCGACGGAGTGAGATACTCGGCGGTGGTAGCAGTAGCATCAGCATCGTTATCATCATCACCATCATCATGGTGAGAGCCCGCGCGGCGCCTTGGGGGCGTCTCTCGGGGGCCACTTCCGGTGCCTTTTCCTGGTGGCGCCTTCAGCAGGGGGTCACTTCTGGTCCCCCTTCCCTGTGGGTCTGGCAGGGCCATACAGGGGCCCCCATAGGGTAGTGGGGTACCCCCAACCTCCTGCCCCCCATCCCGTGCAGGGTATAAGCTTGTCGGGGGCTTCAGCCCCTTCTCCCCTCTAGTTGTGGGGACCAGCTCCCCTTTGGGGGGTGGGGGCAGGCTCCCCTCCACGCAGCCCAGTGATGGGGCTGGAGGCTGCTGGATACCTCTGTGGGAGTGCTGGGCCCTACTGCCATGTTAGTGCCCCCCATGCTGATCCCCCCCCTCCCCCATGTGGGGGCTGTGCCCAGGGGTACCCCACATCTTGGGGCACCCTGTGGGGGTGGGGCCAGACTTCTGGGAGGGGGCAGGGGGGTGTCCTCAGCTACAGCAGCACCTGCTTTCCTTCCCCCCACCCCCCCCATGTGGGATCAGATCATGAAGCTTGGGTGTTCACTGGCTTGTGAATAGGGCTATGGGGGGGCATCAGCTGCCTTTTGGGGAGGGAGGAGCAGAGCTGGGAGGGGTCAGGGGCTGGTCCTGGGGGCAGGTACTGGGGGGAGGAAGGTTGGGCAGGGTGCAGGTGGAGGAGAGCAGTGCTGGGGCATGGGGGGTCTGTGGTAGGGGCAGGGCCATGTGCCCGGGTTTCTGGTGCAGGCTTCCACTTCCTCCTTGCTCAAAGTGCGGCATCGGCATTGCCCCATATGCCCTTGGGGTGGGGGGATGGGTCCCCCACATCCTGCCCCCCCACCTAAGCTACTGCAGCAGGTCCCTGCCCCCTCCCCATATTGCTCGACTCTGCTGGGGGGCGTGGCCAAATGCAGGCAGAGCCAAAGGGGCAGAGGGCACCCCCCCCCCCCCCCA